CCCCTTATTTAGTGACCTGCTGGTGGCTCCCTACCACTAGGCTTATTTGGAAGCAATAGATAAATGTCAGCACTTAGAAGCCATGAAACATCCTAACTGGCCCCCCTAGACTAATAAACATAAAAAAAAACCCTGATTCAGGCAGCCTGATGGGCTCATTGGTGAGAGGGAGATAAAGTTTCCCTTCAGGACATTTATAATTTACATAATAAAAAGCTTTTCACCTTCCAGTCCAGGAGCAAAATTAATTACCAGCCCCTGGTACCTCCTGGAACAGTTTTTGCTTGAACTGGCAGGAACAGTTTGTGAACTCTGAAATGAGGGTGGGGGGCCCAGGAGGGGGTGTTGGGGAGGCAGGTAGAGAGGGGAGCAAGGCACCCGCAGCTCACTTTGCAACGGTCTGAAACAGGGTGTGTGTGCGGGGGTGGGGTGGGGAGTGGGTCTCCACATTTCACAAAGACATCTGTGGCTCGACCTGTCTTTTCAGAGCATTCAGTACAAATAATGCGCTAATGATAATGGACTTGGCAATCGGAGGCCTCCTGGCCTCCCCTCGGACAGATGTTGAATGGGCACTCACCAGAAGGGTTGTCTCCATTATACCCTGCAGTCCTGCTTGTCCTCTTCTCCTCTGGGCACCGGTTCAAACCACAAATAGCAAAGCTGGCGCTCCTGTGCCCTGGCCCTGAGGACGTGTGCACGACCCAGAGGCCTCCGAGAGCCAGGCAGGGTCTCTCCTTCCACCCCCCCACACCCCCCTACCCGCCATACTCTTTAGAGAGCCAACAGCATTGGCCTAATGTTCTTTCCCCCCATCAACAATTACTTTATTCCTTTCCCTTTATGTATGTATGTATGTATGTACGTATGTATGTACGTATATACTTTTATTTTAAATCTTTATTGTTAAAAGTATTAATATGCCCCCCCCCACTGACCCCTTCTCACCTGTCCCAGCACCCACATCCTGCCCCAGGCCTTCACCCCCCTATTGTCTGTATCCACAGGCTATGCATATATACATACAAGTTCATTGGTTGACATCTTCCCCCACACCCATCCTCCCCTGCCTTCCTCTGAGGTTCAACAGTCTGCCCGATGCTTCTATGTCTCTGGATCTATTTTTGTTTATTTTGTTCATTAGATTCCACATATGAGTGAGGTCACGTGATACTTGTTTTTCTCCGACTGGCTTATTTCGGGCTTGTTTTATTCTTGCACCATCCCCAATAGTCAGAAAACCAGTAAGCTCGGTCAATAGGACTGAATGGGCAACTCCTAATTCAATGGCATGCCTGAGTCTTTCTGCTAAGAATTAGTGGCTCTGAAAATTCCTCCATGGGTTGGAGCCGGCTCCCTAAGGATGCAGGCTGCTGATGGGGGGAGGGAGGCGTTTGCCACTTGGGTGAAGCAGAGGGTCAGGGAGCATGCGGAAACCCCCAGGAGGTACCCCCAAAGCTGCCGTGGTAGAGGCTGAGAATGGGAGTAAGCCCCTATAAATGGCTTCTTACTGGACTCTCCACAGAATGACCTAGGTAAGGGGGGTTTCACGGCACCGGTAAGGTGTCAAGGGCGTCCATGACCTAAACATATCAGAACGGCAGCCCAGACAGCAAGCTGTTCCACAGCAGAGATGAATTGACACGGCCTAATTGCATCAATGCCACTCAGCATGTTTACAGTGAAGGATGACAAGGGCCATCGCCGTCACGAGAGGGCAAGTCTCCGTCTTGGATCGGAACGTTCTGTGTTTGTGGGTCTGTCCTAAGGGAATCTTCCGGGACGTGACCTCGCTTCTAATTGGTCCAGTTTAGAAAAACAACAAAACAAAAAACAAAAACCCAAAACTTGTACAAAAGACTGCCATGTGGAGAAAAAAAAAGAGCTCACTTGTCTTCTTTTCTCCTCCGTGTTTTCCCAGAAGTTAGGGTGAGCCTGGGAAAACCCCAGATGTTTCTATCCTCCGTGGCTGCCGACAGACAAAAATGTAACAAAGTAGGCCTTGTCTGTGAGCTCCGGGAAGGCGCGTGCCATGTTGCACAGTTTTAGGCAAGAACGCCATCTGATACGTTCCTCTGTGCGGCGAGGGCCTGACCAATGCTGGAAATAAACCCGAGAAAGAATGGACAAACACAATGCAGCCCTGCCCCTGTCCTGACCTTGGCCCACACACTCTGCTCTGCCCGTAAACGGCCTTGGATCGTGGAGCCCAAACCCCGGACCAGCTCTGGGGGCAGCAGGAGCCTTGAGAGGCCTGCCTTCCACGGATGATACCAGGACTTAGTGCCACGGGTACAGGAGGGTGGTTGTGGCTGCAGAACCCACCTGCTCTCCGGCAGGTCCCAACCCGGCCAGAAGAAATGTGCCTTTCTAGCCGGACTCAGTTACCCCTATTATGCCAGCGAGACTTGCAGCCGTGACTGCAGACTCGGGTTCAATTTCTCGGGAGCCGACTCTGACACGGGGGTTCGAGTGCGGGAGGTTAATTTAGGAAGAGCCTTTGGGAGCAGCGCTGTGAGCGCCAAGGGAAGAAAGCAGGGCTGGGCAGAGGGAGAAATCCGGCCGCAGGGCAGTCCCAAGGGAGGGCAGGGCAACAGCTGCTCCTGCAAGAGTGTATACTCATCAGTCACTGCTAGATAATGGGGTGCTCCAGGAAGGGGGCGTGGCCACAGGCAGGTGCCTCTCCTCACCTGAGGCCACCCTCAAACAAGGCTGATGGCTGGGGGCCATCTGCAGGCAGCACTCCCAGCTCAAAGGGGAATGTGGGCATCTACTGCACACCATCACTACTCCTATCCGGCAGGATGGCGCCCAATGCCCATCGCCTCCTCTGTGATGCCCTCCCAGCTGCCTTCTCTGACCCCTTCAGAGAAGGGGTAGTTCTCACTCCCGTCACTGTCCACGCACCGCCTCACACCCAGCGGGGATGAAGGAAGTGCCTGTTGAATAACACAGCACTGAATACGGAGCATCAGCATAAAAGTATGAATAAAATATCATCTCATTATCCGAATACCTGCCCCCAAGGAGTTCAATTAGATCAGAAAAACAAGCAGAAATTATTGGGGAACTTGCATTCGGAAGCCAACACCCAGGTGCTTTCTGGTCTCAGCTCTGGGCAGAACCCGGCCTCCGCCAGGCTTCGGCTGACTTGTGAAATCGGAGAGACCCACGCATTCTATGAGGAGATTAGGAAGCCGAGACACACTCAGTGTCAGCACTGTTGCTAAATGATGTCTTTATTAGAGTCCTTATTGACATGGGTGGGAAAGTACGTTTTGATCCTGGCAAGGGAAAGAGTGTGAGGGTCAGAGTGTCTCCCAGGTGACATGCTGAGGACTTTGTTTGCAATTCGCCCAGAGCTAAGAGACCCCAGGAAGAAAGCAAGCAGAGGCCAGAGTAGGTGAGGAATTGTACTCTCTGTTCCGTGAGTGGAAACAGAAACCAACTGGACTTTCCTGTGATTTATGAAAATGCTGTCATTTAAAATCACTAAGTGGCATCTTACCTTCACAGGATAAGGAGTTATAGAAGCGGGAAGAGGAATGTTAAACCCAGAAGCCAGGATCAAAAACAAACAAACAAACAAAAAACAAATGGACAAAAATAAAGAAAAAAATGTCATCAAATTTCCCTCTTGTGGTATCTGTCTAATACATAGAAGAATTTTTAAAATATCGCAATTTAAGGACAACATCTGGGAGAAGGATGTTAACATAACAGCCCAAGATCTGTGCTAACCTGTCACTGCTTTCAGTTACGCACACCTACTAGGCTCACGATTTCCCATCAGATATCCTCACATACACTGAGGCCGGGGCAAGAGCTACAACCATCGATAATAAGAAACGAACAGCTTGAAGAAACATCTTGTAAATGTACATACCCCTTTAAAATAACAAACCGCAACAGGAATGAAAGCACAAGCCATAAGAACATTTCCAAACCCTGCCTAATCAATACGCATCTCCACCACCTCCCAGGATTTCTCTGCAATCAAAGTCTCGTCGGACAAAAAGAGAAACCCGAGAAATGCACGTCTCCACACAGGTAAGCCAGCACTCCACTACCTGCATACAAATATACACAGTGGATACTGATCTCATACAAAGCACCTCCACGGGGTTCTTCCCATGAACATAGCCCTGTTCTCTTCATTCACTAAAGAAATGCAAATTCCAGTTCGAGGTTTTGCAAAGGCCAAGAGACCTGCTCCTCAACTGAATCTGTGATTCCTTATCCATTTCACGAACATGACCTCATTAAGAGTGCACCTCGCATTTTTTAAAACGGCAATTACTATTCCTGGCATGCCGACACCTTCAAAGACAGAAGAGAGAAATGGGCCGCAGTTAATTACCTTTGAACTTGTGGAACACGGCCCACAGCTCTGCGATGTCTGTGGCGAAGGTGATGTCTGTGTCAAGGACGATGACCCTCTCCAGGTTGGCGGGGAGAGTCTTGGTCAGGACCAGCTTCATCAGGCCGTAAATCCCCGAGTAATGTTTGTTGGGGATCCAGGAAACCTCAGACTACACCAGGTGGCGGCGAAGCGAGGGAGAAGGAGAAAGAAAAGAAAAAAATCACTACATTAATTTGTTTTGCATAAACATTACAAATAGTGCCTGGTACATAAAAAGCATCCAATACAAATTTGTGGAATAAATGAATGACTCTTTTCTTCAAGATTTGTTCATGTAATGTGCAGTGTGGCATGTGGAATTTTGGGGGGAAGAAAATGTATCTGAATCAAGGGAGAGGAAAAGCAGTATTTATAAAATAACTATTAGGCGGAAACACTATGCTCAGATTTTAAAAATAACATTTTTGCTATTACAGAAATTGGATAGGCTCAGGGGAGAAAATAAGAATATGCACAAAAGAAGAAAGAAAATTACAAAAAATTGAATCAGATATATACTAGCAAACAGTAGCTAATTTTTTTCGAGGTAGATGTATTTCTTTCAATCACTAAAGATTACTACTTAGTGGTATTATTACAGCTTATGCTTATCTCTTTTTTGAAGCAATAATTAAACCAATTAATGTTGATGTCTTCTCCTGGTTTTCACACAAACACAGGAAGAAAAACTGGTCATCATTGATGCAACACTCTTCACTGGGTAACAAGATGCAAGCATGTGCGTGCGCGTGCGCGCGCACACACACACACACACACACACACACACACACGCCAAATGAGCTCATGGAGGGCCATCCCTGAAATCCTCACCTGCTGTAACAACTCATGCCCCATAGGTGGGTAGAGTCGAACGCAAGACACACAGCTTGGTACCACCTGGAACCCAAAGTCAAGGCTAAAAACAGTACATTAACTCCGGTGTGATGACAGCTCTCAAAGGAACAGGTCTGCTAGGGAGGTCACTGTGAGTGGGGGCCCCTCCCCGCCTTGCTGCCGGGAGGAGTCTGCTTAGAAGCCAAAGCACACTTATTTCCATGAAGGTAACGCTTGTAATGCAACTCTTCAATGATAAACGGGGCCGCCTTCGCAAGAGTCCACAAAATACTCATCCCTTTTGTCCTTATCATTCCACTGTGTGGACACTGTTCTAAAAAACAGAGCCGAGTTGAACAACGAGAAACTGATAGCATATCATACAATCTACAGCAGACGGAAGTGCTGGGACACAAAGACCCCCAGTGAATAAGCCCTAACTTCTTCCTGATGCCCCTCATTGCAGGTACTCAGGTGGCCATGCCTCTTTACCTGCTTCCCACAGGAGGTGGGGGAGGGGTCTCTGGAAGACAGTCCAGCAGGAAACCGTGGGTTCTGGAGTCAGGCACACCTGGACTCAGATTCTGGCCTTGTCACTTAACCGCAAGGTCAACTGGGACATGTTTGCTTGGCCTTTCTGAGCGTCTGCCAGTTATAAAAGGCAGTTACTTCTAAATGCTTGCACTGTACCAGACACGGTGTGGGCGGAAGCAGCACAGTCAACGCGGATCATTGGGGGGGCGGGAGGGGGAATGCAACAATAAAGAACAGAAGCATATGCAGAACTTAAGGGGGCGGGGACAGGACTGGGCAGCACAGGGAGGAAGAGTGGGGGCCATTACCACCCAGGCCTGCAGGGCAGTGCCAGCAGCTGCTGGAATCAGAGAGAATGCCAGGTGAATAAGCCACCCAGCAGGTGCCGTGACCTTCCGCAGAGGAACATGGGCTGCCTGTGACAATCCCCCAGGATGGGGCAGGGAGAGAGACCCCAGCCTCTCTCCTCCTTCCCACTGGTCTACTGGAGAAGCCCCCTGAGCTCAGAGATTCGACCCTCATGGGGCACAAAGCCGGGTGGAGGAGGGAGAGGGAGGACCTGAGGGACTCACCTAGCACAACTAACACCGCCATTGAATTAACCGAATCATGGCAAGATCAAAGCATAATGCCTCATACAGAATAGATGCAAAATGCATGTCTGTAGGATGGGTGGGTGGGTGGGTGAATGGATGGGTGGACGGATGGACCAACAGACAAACAGATGGTCAAACAGCACAAGAAGGTGAGTGATCTGTCTGCAATTCCACAGCAAACAAGATGCAGGGCTGTAGTGGGGATCTGTCATTAGGTTTGCAGTCTCTCCCCAAACCACGTTATCCTTCCTATGGAGTTAGCTTCATGACTCGCTGCCCAAGGCCTGGGGATGCTGCGAGCACTTCCCTGCAGCAGACTTTAGAAAACGCCTCCTCCTGGGAGCCCGGCCTCCAGAACTCAGCTGAGTTTCTCTCTTCCCTGGGAATCTGCCCGCCCCGGAGCTTGGCAATCCTCGGTCCACGCTGCAGAGCTGAGCTACTTCGCCAGACCTCTCATTAGCTTATTCATCCGTGTGGTTACCCTCAGCGCAGGAGAGCTCGGTGCAGACTGAACACCAGCGCAGTGGTTACGCCACCTAACTGGGTTGCCCCGACTCTGGATTTACTTTAACCCGTGTGAGGCGCTCGGATGCATCGCAGAACAGTGGGACTACGGGAATAAGTAAGTCTCAACAGCCCAGGCCTGAATGTCGCCCCAAGTCCCCCAACTTAACAGATAATCCATTAAGTCAGAGTGTACAATTAGAGGTAACAGAAGCATTCAATGAGTTTGTATTGGGAAAGAAAACTAAGGAATCTATGGGAAGAAAGAATGTGTGCTAAGAAGCAGATATATTTATTATAAACAGTTCATTCTCTTGGAAGTAGCATATAAATAACATCCCTCCCATTCCCCCACCTTCATCCAAATTCCATGTTTCCTTCAAATCTCAACTTAGAAGGCACCCCCTGCCCCTGGTTGGTACCACCTCTCTGGCCACCACCTCCCCGCTGCCCGGGGCTGGGTGCGGGCTCCAGACCCAGCTGTCTGCCTGCCTTCTGCACAGCAGGCTGCCACGCCTTGTTTAATTGCCCATGTCTCTCTCTGGCTCTGGGCTGGAACTCCTTGAGGCAGGGATGATGTCATTTTTACTGTGGTAACAAGTCATTACTCAAAAAATGTCTGATGAATGTGCATGGCTGCCGAGTTAGCCAGGCCTGGGTTTAAATGCTACCTCCGACTTTTGCCGCCACTAGGAGCAGAACCAGCCATAACTGCTCAAGTCCAGGGTCCGGATGGTACAATGGCAGGGGCACGGCTGGGTGAGCCCCACTGCCTGGGCTTTAGTCCCAGTTCTACTGCGAATAAGCTGTGTGGCCTCAGGCAAGTCACTGTACCTCTGGGAGCCTTAGTTTTCTCACCTGCAAAATGGGAGCTTAGAACACTCACTTCACCGAATTGTTAGGACTGCAACGCTGGGCGGGCACGTGGGCCTCTGTAAAGCCCATTTCTCTTCTCCAGTGAACTTCTGTCCACACTACCAAGGCTCAGACGATTCTGGATTGTGAGTTTGGTAAAAGCAATTAATTAGGGTACCTTTGATAGTACAGGGGAGGCTGGGAATGGAGGTGGTTTTGGTGGGGGCAGTAAGTCACCTATCACCCGTTCCGGTATTTCTACATAAAGATGAACAAGATCACAAGCTGAGATCTACCAGGAAACTGGAAACATCCTCTGGTAAGATCTCCAAATGGGAGAGAACCCGTGTGAATTAGGAGGACATGTGGGCGGGACTGGTCACCCAGACAACCTATGGGGCAGTCTCTTGCTGCAACCCACACTGGTATTGATCTTACTCCCACCCTGCAGTAAACGTCAATCCAACCAGGGACACTAAGTCTGGGGTCAGTGGACAGAAGAGCATCCCCTTAGGGAGGGTTGAGACAACCTGGAGGGCACCATGCAGACCGACCCAGGATCCTACAGAGACGCCAGCCCTGGCAGGGCAAGATCCTAGTTATGTTCTTTATCGTTATAAACACACCAAAGGGTCTGTGTAATTAAAACGCTATAAAACTGAAAGTTAGGCTTATTTTAATGGACATATTCTTACCCTGGCAATGGCTGTTAATAATCCTAAGCAGCATGTTCTAAGATTTAATTAGCAAAAGTGCAACCGTGCTCAAGAATACCGCCTAATGCACTTATATAAAGGAGAGTATGCATGCCAGGTTTTGAGGGTTTCTGTTTAAAGTGGGGGGTTGAGGGACATTCGCCTTGCCAGGGCTGCGGGTTTCTGGGTGGGTGAACCCCGAGGGGAGGTTCTATAAAGTTCTGCAAGAGATTCCAGGGTTCATCTGATGCTGGGGGGTCCATAGGACAGTTCCTCAGGAGATCTGACCAGGGTAGTGACATGAGCATGGCTCAGGGTTGGACAGAGGACACGAATCCATAGGTGACTGCTTAGAACCTAGGGCTGGAGGGAAACTGATTTCCCGATGGTGAAGCAGGTGTTTGACGGTTGATAGGCAAGGGAAAACTGGGGAAAAGGCTGGTTTTATTGGGGAATGGTGTCCATTTCTACTTGAAGAAGTTATTTTCCAGAGGCACTGGGATGTCCAGTAATGGTAACAATAGACAATACCATCTTGCATTGACAGAGTGCTAACTGGGTGTCATGTATTATGGTAGGAGCTTTCTGGGGGTCTCTTAAACCTTCCCAACTAGTCTAAGGGTCCGGCGTTATTATCCCAGTACCTGAAGTTTGGGAGATGAGTGCCAAGTCCTTCAACTCACCCCAACTTCCCAGCCCTAGACTTTCTCCCCAGAAATGGCGTTTCTCTCTTCCTCTCCCTTCCACTGCTCCGGGTTACCTACAGTTGTAACCAAACCTCCTCCTCCATCCCACCAAATCTTCCTTCGTCAAGAATCTGTACTGAATGGCAGGTAGGTACAAAGGCCTTGGAGTTGGCCATTCTTGGCTTCTGAGTCTCTCTGGGCCTTCGTTTTCTCATCTGTAAAATAGGGATAATAGCAGCTCCCTTCCCAGGGAGTTCTTTTATCTGGAGCCTGGAAGCTCTCCTCCGTCATCCTGGAAATATTTATTGCTCAAAACAGACTTCTGAGCCATATCAACATTTTCCTGAGGATTACAAATCACCTTGACACATTTTAAAAAATTAAAAAAAGAACTCATCCTAGCTGCAGAAATGTTTGAAACGTCAT